AATGAACACATCCATCACTCTCCCCAATTTTATAATATCACCCTCTCTGCCCAGTCAAGGTAACCACTAATCTGTTTTTAGTCAGTATAGGTTAGTTTTTGAATTTTTCTAGGGCTTTATACAGGCAGTGTATGCTTTTTCTTTTTTCCTTTTCATTTGTTCAGATTCTTTAACTCAGCATAATTAACATATTGCTACTTATTGCAATAGTTCATTTTATTGCTGAGTAGTATTCTATCATTTGGATTTCCCAGTTTATTTATCCATTCATCTGTTGCTGAAATATTTGAGATGTTTTCCAGTTTGTGGCTGTAAACATGTAGGGATGAGTCTTTGTTCTGGCAAGTGCTTTCAGTTGCTCGTGGGTAGAATGGCTCTGTCTACGGTAGGTGCATGTTGAACTTTCTAAGAAACTAACTGCTTTCTAGAGTGTTGTACTATTTTACATTTTCATTAACAGTGCCTGAGGATTCTAGTTTTCTCACGTCCTGGCCAACAGTTGGTGTGGTTAGTCTTTATAATTTTAGCGCTCCTGATCAGTTATAGTGTTACTTCATTCTACTTTTACTTTGCCTTTCCAAATTAATAGTACTTAGCATCTCTTCATATGCATTTTTGCCATCTACATAGATTTTTTTGTTAGAGTGTGTTTAAATGTTCTGCTCATTTTTTCATTGAGTTTTTTTAAAATTGAATTTTGAGAGTTTTTTTTTAAAGATACAAGTCTTTTATAAGATACGTGATTTGTGGGCAGCACTTGTGGCTCAAAAGGGTAGGGTGCCAGCTCCATATGCCAGAGGTTCAAACCCAGCTCCGGTCCAAAAAAAAAAAAAAAAGATGTGTGATTTGCAAATACAGCCTCCCATTCTGTGGCTCAGCTTTTCATTTTTCAAAGGTCTTTCAAAGAGCAAAGGGTCTTAATTTTGATGAAGTCCTTTTTTTTTTTTCCCTAGAGACAAGAGTTTGACTTTGTTGCCCTCGGTAGAGTGCTGTGAAGTCACAGCTCACAGCAACCTCAAACTCTTGGGCTTAAGTGAGTCTCTTGCTTCAGCCTCCCAAGTAGCTGGGACTACAGGCATCCGCCACAATGCCTGGCTATTATTATTATTATTTTGTTGTTGTTGTTGTTGTTGCAGTTGTCATTGTTGATTTTAGCTGGCCCTGGTTGGGTTTGAACCCGCCAGCCTTGGTGTATGCAGCGGACGCCCTACCTACTGAGCTATGGGCACTGCCTGAAGTCCCATTTACTTTTTTTTCTTTTAAATGGATTGTGCTCTTTGGTGTCATATTTAAGAAATATTAGCCTAACCTAAGTTCATAAAATTTTTCTTCCGTGTTTTCTTCCAGAAGTTTCACAGTTTTGGGTTTTATATTCAGGTCTGTGATCACTTGAGTTAATTTTTGTTCGTGATAATGCAATTTTTGTTTGTGATAATGAAGTCTAGATCAACGTTTTTTTTTTTTTTTTTTCTTTTCTTGCAAATGGGTGGCCTGTTGTTCCAGAACTATTTGTGTTTACAAATATTTGGATGATATTAACATGTGCTCACCTATCTCTTTGGTCCACCTAGGGGTAGAGTGGCCGTGTCATGTGGCCATGGGTTTAAAGGTGGTCTCTAGATTCAGTTCTGTGAATCTCTCTGTCCTGATGCCAACATCAAATTGTATTGATTATTATACCTTTATAAGTCTTGCAGACCAACTTTTTAAATGTATCAACTTTGTTCTTTTTCAATTTGGGGGCTATTTTCTTTCTTTCTTTCTCTCTCTCTCTCTCTCTCTTTTTTTTTTTTTTTGGCATTTTAAAGTGGATTTTAGAAACAACATGCTCATTTCCACACAAAAATCTGGCATTTTGGTTGGGATTATATTGAGCCTATAGGTTGGCAGTTCTCAACCTGTGGGTCGTGATGCACAAGAACTGTATTAAAGGGCCGTGGCATTAGGAAGGTTGAGAATAGATCAATTTGGGAAGGGTTAACAATGTAACAAGACTGGATCTTCTAAGGATTAACATGGTATATACTTCATTTATTTAGATATTCCTTAATATCACTAAACAGTCTTGAGGAGTTTTAATTTGTGGATCTTGCAATTTTTTTTTGTCAGATTTATCTGCATATATTTCATATTTTAGTGTCATTTTAAGTGATTTTTAAAAGTTAATAATTTCTAATTGCTTATTACTATATGCAGAAATACTATTGATTTTTGTATATACTGCTTATTGCTAAAATTGCATCCATATTCCATTGACTAGAACCTTAGTCATATGGCCAAGTTTGGCTGGGAATCTTTCTCGCTGGTGGAAGATAATGAAAGATGTAATATTAATAGAATCAAGAGTATTTAAGTATTTGCCATTTGATAAAAGTGACATTTCAAAAATGCTGGGCTGAACTTAGGGTTGTAATTTAAAACAAAATCTTAGTGCTGCAGACGTATTATTTTGAAATACCTATCAGATTGGGGAGATGTCTGGACTATAAATAAAAATCTGGGAGACACTACAAGTAGATAGTATTTAATGTGTGAGACCCAATCAAATCACCAAAAGACAGAATGCAGTTAGAGAAGTCCAGGGACTGAATCCTGGGTACTTCCATGTTCAGAAATTTAGCAAATGGTCGGGCAAGGTGGTTCACGTTTGTAATCCTAGCACTCAGGGAGGCCAAGGCGGGTGGATTGTTTGAGCCTAGGAGTTCAAGACCAGCCTGAGCAAGAGTGAGACTCGACCTCTATTAAAAATAGAAAAACTAGCTGGGTGTGGTGGTAGTCACCTGTCATCACAGCTATTGGGGAGGCTGAGGCAGGAGGCTTAACCCTTAAGAGTTTGAGGTTGCCATGAGCTATGATGATGCCCAGGTACTCTACCCGGGGCAACAGAATGAGAGTCTGTCTAGAAGAAAAAAAAAAAGAAGAAGTGGAAAAGGAGCCCGAGGAAACATGGCCTGAGAGTTGGGAGAAAAATCACTGTGAAATAGTCCCAGTGCCCATAGCTCAGTGGTTAGGGTGCCAGCCACATACACCAGAGCTGGTGGATTCAAACCCGGCCCAGGCCTGCCAAACAACAATGACAACTACAACAATAAAAATAGCCTGGCATTGTGGTGGGCACCTGTAGTCCCAGCTACTTAGGATGCTGAGGCAAGAGAATCGCTTAAGCCTAAGTGTTTGAGGTTGCTGTGAGCTGTGACGCCATAACACTCTACTACCGAGACATAGTGAGACTCTGTTCCCCCCCCCCCCAAAAAAAATCACTATGAAGTAGAGAAAAATCTTCAAGAACAAAGTGATCCCTGTACCAGATAGGGGCCCATACCATGAAAATTGAGGACTGACCATTCAGTTTAACACTGTGAAGCCACTGGCGACCTTGACGAGAGCAATTTCAGGGAGTTATGTAGATAGCAGCCTGGGGATTCAAGGGGATGCAAGAGAAAATGGGAAGAAGAGAACTAGAGAAAGTATAGACAACTTTTAAGGAGTTTTTTTCCCTGTTGGGAAGCAGACAGATGAGGTGGCAGCTGGGGAAAACTACATGATCAAGAGAGGATTTTTTTGTTAAAGAATAAAGAAATTCCAAATGTGTGTGTGCAGATGGGAATAGTAAAGGGAAAATGGATAATGCGATAGAGAGGGGGAATTGCTGGAATGATATCTGTGAGTAGCAAGAGGGGTGGACCTGGCTGTCCAACTGTGGGGCCTTAGGAGAAGGGACAGTTCAGTTATCAGAACAGGACGGAAGATGCAGAAGTCAGGCACGTTGCAGGTGGGTGGGTGGGCGAATGTGGCAGGCAATTTAGGTCTCATTTTATTGCATCTGTTTTCTCAGTATAATAGAAAACAGGGTCATCCGACATCTGTGGCAGATGACCCTGTGTTCTATTAAGATGGGGGAGGAGGGGTGAACCAGTCATCCAGGATGAATGGACCAGAGAGAAATGCATTGTCACGAGTGACAGCCCTAAAGGTTCTGTTGAGGGTAGTGGTCATGAACTTCCCTGCAAACAGCTCACTTGTTTCTCTCCACCCACGTTCCCCTGCATAGGTGCAGGCCAGGGGAGCAGTATTGATTTCTCTGGGGTTACATTTTGTCAGGCGAGTTTACAGAAGTGAGAGAGGGCAGAGGAGTGCATTGAACAGAAAAGTAATAAGGAGTGGGTTGTAAGTTAGGTCTCTGATTTGGGATTGCAAAGGGATTTCAGTCACGACCAGGAGGAGAAGCTGAGAGTGGAAGAGAAGGAGGTCAAAAAAGTGGAAGGCCAGGGCACTAGAGGGACTGTGTGTGTGCGGAACTTGTGCTCAGAACCTGAAGGCTTTTTTGGTTATTTTCTAATATGTTTGTTTGTTTGAGACAGAGTCTCACTTTGTGGCCCTGGCATAGTGCCATGGTGTCACAGCTCACAGCAACCTCAAACTCTTTGGCTTAAGTGATTCTCTTCCCTCAGCCTCCCAAGAAGCTGGGACTATAGGCTCCTGCCACAATGCCCGGCTGTTTTTTGTTGCAGTTGTCATTGTTGTTTAGTTGGCCTGGGCTGGATTCAAACCCACCAGCCTTGGTGTGTGTGGCTGGCGCCATAACCAACCACTGTGCTACAGGCACCGAGCCTCTAATACGGTTTTTTGCTGTTGGACTCTCTGGTAAAGTTTGGGGTTCTTTCTTAGGGACAATTTTATGTTTTTTCTTTCATAGTTTCTTTACCCTTAGTGGTCTACAAAATTTCCTTGGTATTATCTTTCATTCCTTCTAGTGCATTTTATTTCATTTTAACAAGTTTATTTTTATTTTCTTGCTTCTGATTAACTGTCATCATCCTTTTCAAAAAAAAAATTTTTAGTTTTTGACAGTTGCCTGATTTGTTGGACCGTATGTAATTCATGTGTCAGAATATGGCTCGTATCTGTGTTCAGGTATTACGTTTTCACACATAATTTTTCCTGATGTGAGAAGGTATGTTGTGTTCTGTAGCTAACTTCTAAATATCTTTTCATTTTAGGTCTCAAAAAATAAAGATGGAAAAGAACAAAGTGAAACGATATCACCGTCCGAAGATGAAACATTCTCTTGGCCAGGTCCCAAAACAGTCATGTTGAAAAGAACATCTCAAGGCTTTGGTTTTACATTAAGGCATTTCATTGTTTATCCCCCAGAGTCTGCAATTCAGTTTTCATATAAGGTAAGAGAAATAATTAAAGTAACTTGATAAAAAACACAGGGCTATTCCCGTCTTCTTCTTCCTCTTCCCTCCTGCCTTTTTTCTATCTTAAAAGAATTGTCTTGCATTTGCATCTTACATTCTTTTTCTTCTTTTAGGTATACTTCTACCTTTTAGAATAAAAACCTGAATCTGGCCAGGCCTAGTAGCTAAGGCCTATAATCCCAGCGCTTTGGGAAGAGGAGGCGGGAGGAGTTGGAGACCAGCCTGTCTCTACAAAAAATTTAAAAGAATTTAAAATATTTTTAAAAATTAAAAAGAAGATCACGCGTAGTGGCATCCTAGCACTCTGGGAGGCCAAGGTGGGTGGATTGCCTGAGCTCACTGGTTCGAGAGCAGCCTGAGCAAGAACAAGACCCTGTCCCTAAAAATAGCCGGGTGTTGTGGCAGGTGCCTGTAGTCCCAGCTACTTGGGAGGCTGAGACAAGAGAATTGCTTGAACTGAAGAGTCTGAGATTGCTGTGAGCTGTGACACCATGGCCTTCTACCAAGGGCGACCTAGTGAGACCCCATCTCAAAAAAAAGAAAAGTAAAAACTTCAGTCCTCTCTGAAAGATTATAGTGATTCTGAACTCCAAATCTATTTTTTAAGGACTTCTAATTCCAGATCTCATTCCACTTTTTCTACTATGTAGCTGAGGTGCTGAGTTTTCTGGATAGTATATGCTGAGGAAATAGTTCATTAAAGTGCTTCTGATAGTTATAGAAAATCAGTAGAATTATAACAGGACTTAACGTTCAGGTATGTAAAATGGCAAGTCAGAAGTTGAAGACACAACGTCTTGTCACAGTGAATGACATTAATATGCTTCACTGGGTAGTGACCTGGCCTGGGAAGGGGACAGCTTGGATTAAGTGTATGTGCAGGTGATACCCCGAGTACCTGCTCTGTGGCCTGCACTGTTTTTCATGAATAGTACACAGCAGGTCCTCTGGAGCAGGGGTATCATGCGCCCCCTGTAACAGATGAGGAGGCTGATCTGGGTCATATAGTGGATAAGTAGTAGACCTGGCATTTGAACTTGACCAATGTGAACACCTGGTATTAACTGTTGTACAACAGTGTAATGGAATTAAGGATATTCGGAAGAGTTGTGAGACCTCAGCCAGGCCATTCGATTTTCCAGTCCATTTTAATTGGAGGAAATTGAACTAGAAGATTAGAAAATCTTTTTGAATTCTAAGTATCTGTGAACCAAAGATTCACAGATTGTCTTTTAAAAGTAGTGTTTGTATTTGTATCTAGAGACCACACACTTTTACTTATTTTTTTGAGACATAGTCTCATTGTGTCCCCTGGGTAGAGTGCAGTGGTGTCATCATAGCTCCTGTGACCTCCAGCTCCTGGGCTAAAGCAGTCCTCCTGTCTCAGCCTTCTGAGTAGTTGGGATAATAAACACTTGCCACCACGCCCTGCTAATTTTTCTAATTTTGGTAGAGATGATGTCTTGCCCTTGCTCAAGCTGGTATCAAACTCCTGAGCTCAAGCAATCCCGCTGCCTCAGCCACCTAGAGCCACAGTGCCCGGCCAGTAGGTCCTCATGTAACGTCATTGATGGATTCTTGGAAACTGTGACTTTGAGCAAAATGAGGTGTAATGAAGCCAATTCTCCCATCATCTAATTGATATAAACTAGAGTTAAGTGGCTATAGTTTATTTCTGGTCACAGTAACATCACCAAACTTCTAAATGATAATCACAGTACTTCCAGTATTCAACATTAGTAAATGTGAGCTGTACATAGATTTAAGAAAGATTTATAAAAGGAAGTCCAGAGTTTAGGTTGGATGGTGTGTACCTCAGCAGCTCAGGGTACAAGGCAGCACCCAGCCATGGACAGGGCATCATTCCCTCACAGGGCTCACTCACACTCTCCACACCTTAACACTTACGCAGTCTGGGACCCTACAAACGAAATACATCCAGTGTTGGGATTTGGGAGGAGGGTGGAGTACCCAGAGAAAACCTGTACAGATACCACTTGGACAGTGGCTCCAGCTGGAAATCAATTGTTTTTCCTCATCAGTATTGTAATGGAATGACTTTAATTAAAATGATGTTATTCGAGGACCTGCTGTGTAATTGTTTTTTGTTGTTGTTGTTTTTTTTTTTTGTGGAGACAGAGTCTCACTTTATCACCCTCGGTAGAGTGCCATGGCATCACACAGCTCACAGCAACCTGCAACTCCTGGGCTTAGGTGATTCTCTTGCCTCAGCCTCCCGAATAGCTGGGACTATAGGCGCCTGCCACAATGCCTGGCTATGTTTTTGTTGCAATTTGGCCAGGGCTGGTTTTGAACCTGCCACCCTCAGTATATGGGGCCAGCACCCTACTCACTGAGCCACAGGTGCCACCCCTGCTATGTAATTGTTGACAACACAGTCATTGGAGTCAAAATTTGAGTCTGGGTTTGGGTCACATTTCTGCATCTTGTTAAGGATTCCAGGTGTGAGCCACTGAGCCCAGCCTATGATAGTTTTTTAAGGGTGCTATTCTCCCGCTAGAGGTGGATAGCAGGGCCACCAGACAACCTGATAGCAATGACCAAGTAGATAACAAAAATCCAAAATTGAATACAAGCATTACAAATGCGTATGTATTAATTTGGAACCAATCTACTTATTTTTTTTTTTTGAGACAGAGCCTCAAGCTATCCCCCTGGGTAGAGTGCCGTGGCATTACAGCTCACAGCAACCTCCAACTCCTGGGCTCAAG